GGGTGAAGTAGACGAGGGTGAAGTAGACGAGGGTGAAGTAGACGAGGGTGAAGTAGACGAGGGTGAAGTAGACGAGAGTGAAGTAGACGAGGGTGAAGTAGACGAGGTGATGTAGACGAGAGTGAAGTAGACGAGGGTGAAGTAGACGAGGGTGAAGTAGACGAGGGTGAAGTAGACGAGGGTGAGGTAGACGAGGGTGAAGTAGACGAGGGTGAAGTAGACGAGGTGAAGTAGACGAGGGTGAAGTAGACGAGGGTGAAGTAGACGAGGGTGAAGTAGACGAGGGTGAAGTAGACGAGGGTGAAGTAGACGAGGGTGAAGTAGACGAGGGTGAAGTAGACGAGGTGAAGTAGACGAGGGTGAAGTAGACGAGGGTGAAGTAGACGAGGTGACGTAGACGAGGGTGAAGTAGACGAGGTGAAGTAGACGAGGGTGAAGTAGACGAGGGTGAAGTAGACGAGGGTGAAGTAGACGAGGGTGAAGTAGACGAGGTGAAGTAGACGAGGGTGAAGTAGACGAGGTGACGTAGAGGAGGTGAAGTAGACGAGGGTGAAGTAGACGAGGGTGAAGTAGACGAGGGTGAAGTAGACGAGGTGAAGTAGACGAGGTGAAGTAGACGAGGGTGAAGTAGAGGAGGTGAAGTAGACGAGGGTGAAGTAGACGAGGGTGAAGTAGACGAGGGTGAAATAGACGAGGGTGAAGTAGACGAGGGTGAAGTAGACGAGGGTGAAGTAGACGAGGGTGAAGTAGAGGAGGTGAAGTAGAGGAGGTGAAGTAGACGAGAGTGAAGTAGAGGAGGTGAAGTAGACGAGAGTGAAGTAGACGAGGGTGAAGTAGACGAGGGTGAAATAGACGAGGGTGAAGTAGACGAGGGTGAAGTAGACGAGAGTGAAGTAGACGAGGGTGAAGTAGACGAGGGTGAAGTAGACGAGGGTGAAGTAGACGAGGGTGAAGTAGACGAGGGTGAAGTAGACGAGGGTGAAGTAGACGAGGGTGAAGTAGACGAGGTGAAGTAGACGAGGGTGAAGTAGACGAGGTGAAGTAGAGGAGGTGAAGTAGAGGAGGTGAAGTAGACGAGGTGATGTAGACGAGGGTGAAGTAGACGAGGGTGAAGTAGACGAGGGTGAAGTAGACGAGGTGAAGTAGACGAGGGTGAAGTAGAGGAGGTGAAGTAGACGAGGGTGAAGTAGACGAGGGTGAAGTAGACGAGGTGAAGTAGACGAGGTGAAGTAGAGGAGGTGAAGTAGACGAGGGTGAAGTAGACGAGGTGAAGTAGACGAGGTGAAGTAGACGAGGGTGAAGTAGACGAGGGTGAAGTAGACGAGGGTGAAGTAGACGAGGGTGAAGTAGACGAGGACAGACGTGGACAGACGTGACCCTGTGAGTCTCTTCTGCTTGTCTCCTTGAAGAGCCTGATTGATCTGGCGCTCACGTAGCGTCGCGACCGAGACACACAGTGACCTTGCTATCGAGGAGAGACGCGGGACCACAACTGGATGACTTGAAATGTATGAACGTATTTTCATAATGTTGGAAAAGCTGGTTAAACTGGATTAGCATGAACACGAACCTACATGTGCAACACAGCGGTTTGACTTCGAGGACGATCAGTAACTTGATATATGAGGAGCAGAGAACAAACAGCCTGTAGAAATGCACACACACTCTATTACAAGTACCTTATTGACTAGTTGTTATATTACATCATATCATATTATATTATATTTCATGATATTATAATAAATTATATTATATTGTATGAAATATATTATATTGTATAAAATATATTATATTATATTATTATATTATGGTTATTCTCTTGCTAAAATATTTTAATGAATTCAAAAGGAAATACATCTTAACTGAAAGCATAAAATAAAATAAAATAGATGACACTAAAATAATCCTATATTATATATACATACCATTATATTTCATACTATATAGCTGTTGAATGCTTCATTCTGATTGGCTCATTATTCATCAAATAATCCTGAAAAATAAAATGTATGAGCTTTTCCACAAAAATATAAAGCAGCACCACTGTCTTTAATGCTGATAATCACCATAAATGTTTCTTGATCATCAGATCCTCATATTAGAGTTATTTCTGAAGGGTCATGTGACACTGAAGACTGGAGTAATGATGATAAATTCAGCTTTGATCACAGGAATAAATTCCACTTTCACATATATACACATGAAAACAGCTGTTTTTCCTAGTTTTTACAGTATTTTTGATCACCGATGTCAGTGTTCAGTGTCCTCCTCCATCTTACCGTCTCCATCTTTTACCTCGACACAGGTGATTCATATCTGACAATCTCTCCCTATTTTCTGGGCTCTTATTCCTCCAGATAATATATTTGCATTAATTTTTCATCAGCTAGTAATGCGATTCATTCTCGGTGTCTCGTGCAGAGGAGAGATTGCGTTACTTCATTGAGCTCCACACAGACGGAAGCGCTTTCACAGGCACAGATGGATTGTGGGTAAAACACACCATTACAGACCTGTTTTATGTTACTCCGCCATACACATTAGTCGAGACTCGACGCGCACTGCAAAAAATGAGTTTTCTTACATTCTTAAATCAAGATGCTTTTATTTGACAAGCAAAATGACATCAGATATTACGTCTTGCTTTTAAAATGAAAATTAACAATGCCAATGGGGTAAAATGGTAACACTTTACAATAAGATCCCATTAGCTAATATTAGTTAATATACATACTGTAGAGCCATACATTTTTATGAATCAAAAATAACTATTCATGTTAACTGTGGTTCTTTATATAATGTTAACAGATACACCTTTTAATAATAAATTATAATAAAACGTTTATTTGATATAGCGCCTTTCAGAAAACTCTTTTGATTTGAATAATGTAGGCCTATCAGCAAATGTTGAAATTAACATTGAGATTAATAAATGCTTCAGAAGGATGTTTTATTGTTAGTTCATGTTAACAAACTAATTATGACAAATAAAACCTTATTGTAAAGTGTTTCCATGAAAAAAAAAATAATAATAATAATTCAAAGGGAAACCCGGTTTTATTTCCCGGACCTCATTGGCAGATATTTCCTCTCGCTTTCAGTTTCATTTTAATAATTTAGGGAAAGGAAGACTTGTTATTTTAATCCATTTTGCTTCTCCATTAAATGAATCTTGATACAGATAATCACATTGTAATACCATGCAAAATAAAAACAAAAGAAAAGTATGAAATATCTGCGAGTGTATTTGACTGTCACTGATTTCCCACATGACAGGCCTTTAAAAACAGCATCCGCAGGAAGAGAGCTGAGATGTTCGGAAAACATTTAGCGGATCAATACGTCGCGGGGCGAGTGTGTGCTCTGGGACACGAGCCGTTCCAGCCGGAATACTGTTACACTTCATCAGTCAGACGCACGGCCGAGCGACTCAGCACATCCCCGTCTCTGCCAACAGCGCCTCGGCTCCAGCGCGGCTCCGACACGGGCCACCGGAGCGCCGGCCAACGGCAGCTACGGCTCTGACACGGTGTGTGTGTGTGTGTTTTGGCAGGAGCTGAACCTGAGCGCCAACAAATGGCATTGCAAAGTGACATGTGACCCAGTGAACGGTGGAACACTTCAACAACTCCTGAAGGCACACAAACTTGAAACCGTCTGCAAAAACATCGGCGTATGTTGTCTGGGTTGCGTTTTTTGTTTTTGTTTTTTACTGTGTGGTTTTGTTCATGGCAGTGTTGTTACTGTTAACTACAACTATTACAAATATGGTTCATTCATAATATATACATATAAATTAGAGTTCTGCAAAGATTAATCATGGTTAATCGCATCCAAAATAAAAGTTTGTGTTTATATAATATGTGTGTGTGTATTGTGTATAATTATTTTGTATATATAAAAACATATGCATGCATGTATATAATTAAGAATAATTTGCACATAAATACATATATATATATATATATATATATATATATATATATATATATATATATATTTACAAATTTTGTATTTATGAATAACAGATTTTCTTAAATACATACATGTGTGTGCATTTATATATACAAAATAATTATACACAGTACACACAAATATATTATCTAAACACAAAAGTTTCATTTTTGGATTCGATTAATCTTTGCAGAGCCTATATATATATATATATATATATATATATATATATATAAACTGAGAAAATATATAAAATGACAAATTGCTTTAGAATAAAATTGCAAAATAAAAAATAAAAATAAAAAACTTACTAAAATAAAATAGTTTTAAAGATGAAGTACTGAAATTACTGAAATAAAACAAAAATTATGTATATATATATATATATATATATAACTAAGAACATGTAAAATGTTGCCTTGGAATAAAATTACAACAAAAGAAACTGAAATAAAATAATTTTAACTAAAGTACTAAAATTACTAAACTAAAACTAATAAATTAAAGATAAATACACATACACAGACAGGCATGCACACACACACACACACACACACAACACAACACAAACACTATAAACAAATAAAAATTAGTTATTAAAATTACAAAAAAATAAGTTGCTGAAATAAAATAAATGTAAGTTGAAGCACTAAAAATACTAAAAATACTAAAACGTAAACATAAAACATGTAAGTTACTGTAAAAAATTAATGTCACATTAAATTTTCACACATATATAACATTTTCATTGTAATAATGTATTAGTTAATGTTAAAATGAAAGTTAACTAATATTTAGAAATGCAATAGAAATTTGGTGTATAGTTTAAGTGTAACTTTCTTACAGTGTAATATTATAGGGTTAGGCTTAGTTGCATGTAATTATGCATAATTTACAGTTATTACTCTGGTAAGGACGTGAAATTTGTATAGTTATGAATGGAATTGTTACCGTTCATATTGTTTAAAGACACAGAATCATTTTAAAGTGATTTGAGTCAAAGAACTATAATAACGCGGGAACGGATCTTGACGTGAAAGCCTCACCTTCCTTCAGCATGCCCACTTTCAGACACTTCATGAAGCGGCACGCCTGACACGACTTGCGTCTCCGCTTGGTGATCTCGCACTCGTTGGTGGCCGGACAGCTGTACTCGATGTTACCTGGAGAAACACGGACAGAAACAGACAGCGTGAGGCCAGAAATAACCCGAGAGCTTTACAACACCGCACTGCATCCATCAAAGCCATCAAAAGAACACTCTATAAATCACTTTATTTATAAAATCATCTTTTACTCAATTTGATAAATTGCTTGTGGCCGCGAGACACCACAGAACAGGGACAGCGTGTGCTGGGAAGATGAAGAAACATGAGGCAACAAAACAGATGAGACAGGATTCAAAACTAAAGCTTCTATTCGAATCACACCTCGCCGGATTACAGAGCGCTATTTACATACACAACATTAGATACATTATTCAAGCACTTCAGCGCTTCATACCTGCACAATAAAAGAGGCGCATTGTGAGAGTAACAATAGGCAAAGTGCTTGATCTACTCGGCCATTCTGCCTGTGTCTGTGTACGTTTAACTGCGCGAGGCATTTCAATTAGGACATGTATGGGTAATGGCAGGAGAGAAGCCTAAATGCAGAATGACAGTCGGCCGGCGCGCGTGTGTGGTTTGAATGTCTATGCGCTCGCTCAATTTATTCAGGCTCGTCTCCGTCGGTGCGCTGAACAAAAACCCTGGAAATAGCACAGAGTACAGGACACCACCGGGAGTTACCAGGAAAACAACAACATCTCTGTAGGGCCGTGTCCATGAGTTCAAGTGACCATGAAATCAAGTTATTTATGCGTTTTTGGAATATTACAGTGTTTATTCTAAATGTGCACATCATTATTGTTTTAATAATACTCTTGAATCAGAATAAGTTCCTTTTGCAGCATCTCTTCTCTTCTCTATAACCTGTCAATCACGTGAGATTAGGGTTGGGTATCGAGAATCGAGTATCGATTGGAACCGGGACTAACTTTTCGTTTTTGCCGGAATCGTTCAAAAGTTAAAATTTCGATTCCTAGTTTCGATATTCACAGTCCGCCGAGCGGAAGAAGAAACCGCTGAACAACACCAACGAAGAAGCGTCTACCGGAAGTGTTGGTATTACCGCGCGAGTCGAACATGAGTAGCTTACGTCGGCGATCCAAAGTGTGGCTTCACTTTTCTAAAAATAACGAAATCTCGGCAAAATGCAAAATTTGTGACAAAAGGAGTATTTTTACAGAAGGATTATTTCCTTCAGAAAGGCCGTTGGTTAGCAAGGTTAGCTAAACTTTGACCCTGCCTCTTAAAAGAATCGGAATCGAGAATCGTTAGGAACCGGAATCGAAACAAGGAATCGGAATCAGAATCGTTCAAATTCAAACGATACCCAACCCTACGTGAGATCAGCCAATAGCAAACCACACCCATCCAATCAATTCCCCACAAACACAATCAAGCCCCGCCCACATGTGTTCCTGTTCCTGAAGCGTTTCACTCGATATATACGACACAAAAGAGGAAAGACCAGCGCAACTTCCCTCTCATGACGACTTTAAATCATAAAGATTTAAGCTTCAGCCGCTTTATAAGCACGTCTCATTACCAGTTTGGGAAGATGGTCGGTGCATGTTGTGCTTTCAAATGCACATTATAAGCATCCAAATGAGCAGCATTTACTGTGAATCGAGCCGCCTCAGTAAACTCAGCATTATTTCCATAGCGATGTGTACATACAGATAGTTTCAAAGCAGCTTCACAGTGATAAATAACAGTATTAAAGTTATTATGAAACATCTGTAAAGTAAATCACTACTTTTAACTATCAAGCTTTCTTAAAGGTTTCTCGGGAACAAATCTTATGAATTATCTCCTTATTTATTGCACAGGATTAGTGTAAATCGATGCTGTAAAGGTATGAATGAACAGGTCAGTAGCCTCATACTGCATGTAGAGCGAGTAGATTATCAGCGTTCTCCTGCACAAACGCTCCCATCCCCCATTCCCAACTTATGCAATTATGTTAACATTATTGCACAGATCAAGCGGATGGTCCCAAGATGTATTAAATAATTAGAAATTCACCCTTTTATCTGGGTTATTCAAATCAGTATGCAAATGTCGCAGATCTCTTTGGGTTTGGGGTAAATAAAGGTGTGGAAATGAGTGTGATAACGTCTGCGTCTCTTCCTGTTTTGCCGTTTGTTGTCACGAGCAACTAAACAGCTCTAATCAAACACATTTCCTGTGCGCTTTGACTCGTGCATTGGTTTTCCCACAGCTAGAATGAGCAGAGACTCATTCCTCCTTTATCCTATCATATTTGCTGGAGAAGGAAAGGCTGAAACTTCCTATTCTGGGATGCGTCCCAGTGGGATCATTACGGCAGGATCCTTCTTGAATTGCAGTGTTGGTAAGCGTATCCCGGCTGTCTGATTGGCCCGTTCCACCGGGAGACTGATGGCTCTTGATACCTCTGAAATACACTCCTTGTCTCACGTACACACACCTTCGGCTCTCGACATCAGGCCTGGTCCACTTCACAGCTTATTATGGCCTCTTCTGTCTAGACCAGTTTGAGTAAGTGGCGATATGGACTAGGCCTTATTTGGCTTATATATTGTGGACTAGACCTTATTCGGCTTATATTTTGTGACTATGCCTTATTTGGCTTATATATTGTGGACTAGACCTTATTTGGCTTATATTTTGTGGATTAGACCTTATTTGGCTTATATATTGTGGACTAGTCCTTATTTGGCTTATATATTGTGGACTAGGCCTTATTTGGTTTATATATTGTGGACTAGGCCTTATTTGTTATACATTGTGGACTAGACCTTATTTGGCTTATATTTTGTGGACTAGACCTTATTCGGCTTATATATTGTGGACCAGGGCTTATTTGGCTTATATATTGTGGACAAGGCCTTATTTGTTTTATATATTGTGGACTACACCTTATTTGGCTAATATATTGTGGACTAGACCTTATTTGGCTTATATATTGTGGACTAGACCTTATTTGGCTTATATATTGTGGACTAGGCCTTATTTGGCTTATATATTGTGGACAATGCCTTATTTGGCTTATATATTGTGGACTAGACCTTATTTGGCTTATATATTGTGGACTAGACCTTATTTGGCTTCTATATTGTTGACTAGGCCTTATTTGGCTCGTATATTGTGGACTAGGCCTTATTTGGCTCATATATTGTGGACTAGGCCTTATTTGGCATATATATTGTGGACTAGGCCTTATTTGGCTTATATATTGTGGACTAGGCGTTATTTGGCTTATATATTGTGGACAATGCCTTATTTGGCTTATATATTGTGGACTAGGCCTTATTTGGCAAATATATTGTGGACTAGGCCTTATTTGGCATATATATTGTGGACTAGGCCTTATTTGGCTTATATATTGTGGACCAGGCCTTATTTGGCTTAAATATTGTGGACTAGATCTTATTTGGCATATATATTGTGGACTAGGCCTTATTTGGCTTATATATTGTGGACTAGGCCTGATTTGTTTTATACATTGTGTAGTACACCTTATTTGGCATATATATTGTGGACTAGACCTTATTGGGCTCATATATTGTCGACTAGGCCTTATTTGGCATATATATTGTCGATTAGGCCTTTTTTGGCTTATATAGTGTGAAACTCGGCTATGTGTTTATTTAAACGTAAGTAGACGTTTAAATAAACACATAGCCGAGTTTCACACTGAAACACACAAAGCTTATATTTATTTTAAAATAAATCACAGCCGTGGCACTTTGAAAACCACACTTAACAATATTAAGATTTTGAATTTATTCAGATTAATCATGCAGCCATAACTGTAAGAGAGTCCAGAGATTTATTGTCAAAAATCACATATCATGTAAAGGTTTTATTTGTAAACAAGAGGCAACACTTAGAAATGATGCAATACGGAAGACGAGAATGCAATCGCTTCAGTTTCAGAATGGATCTACTTTAGAATTTCTATAAAAGTTATATTTTTTTAAATAAAAGTCTTGGGATTGGAGAACACAAATAAAGTTTTTTTTTTTTTTTTTACCTTCTCAACATTAATCCGCTTTAATTTCTTTGATGGTATTTTAGGACCGGTGCCAGGCCATGGTTTGGGGAGAGACTCGGGTCAAGTAAGTAAATTACAATAAAAAAGGAAGGTCTTCCTCATCAAAATGTAAACTGACTTTTACAGGCCTACTGTCAGACTGCATTACTTCATAGAAGAAAGAAAAGGAGATTCACACAACTGTACACCTGTGTTGAGATGGGGCTCTGGACGAGGCTCACGGGGGTGTTTGGGTCACGGGGGTGTTTGGCTCAAGTTGGGTTTGGGTCACGGGGGTGTTTGGGTCACGGGGGTGTTTGGGTCACGGGGGTGTTTGGGTCACGGGGGTGTTTGGGTCACGGGGTGTTTGGGTCACGGGGGTGTTTGGGTCAAGGGGGGTGTTTGGGTCAAGGGGGGTGTTTGGGTCAAGGGGGGTGTTTGGGTCAAGGGGGGTGTTTGGGTCAAGGGGGGTGTTTGGGTCACGGGGGTGTTTGGGTCATGGGGGTGTTTGGGTCAAGGGGGTGTTTGGGTCAAGGGGGGTGTTTGGGTCAAGGGGGGTGTTTGGGTCAAGGGGGGTGTTTGGGTCAAGGGGGTGTTTGGGTCACGGTCACGGGGCTGTTTGGCTCAAGTTGGGTTTGGGTCAAGGGGGTGTTTGGGTCACGGGGGTGTTTGGGTCACGGGGGTGTTTGGGTCACGGGGGTGTTTGGGTCAAGGGGGTGTTTGGGTCAAGGGGGGTGTTTGGGTCAAGGGGGGTGTTTGGGTCACGGGGTGTTTGGGTCACGGGGGTGTTTGGGTCACGGGGGTGTTTGGGTCACGGGGGTGTTTGGGTCACGGGGGTGTTTGGGTCACGGGGGTGTTTGGGTCACGGGGGGTGTTTGGGTCAAGGGGGTGTTTGGGTCACGGGGGTGTTTGGGTCACGGGGGTGTTTGGGTCACGGGGGTGTTTGGGTCACGGGGGTGTTTGGGTCACGGGGTGTTTGGGTCACGGGGGTGTTTGGGTCAAGGGGGTGTTTGGGTCAAGGGGGGTGTTTGGGTCAAGG